GCCCGAAATAGGGCAGAAGTGTGAGATTGAGCCCAATATAGGGCTGAGCCCAATGTGGGGCAGAGCTCGATATGGGGCCGAGCCTGATATAGGGCAGAGCCCGGTGTGGGGCACAGCCCGATATAGGGCAGACCTCAATATAGAACTGAGTGCCATGTGGGGCAGAGCCCAATATAGGGCAGAACTGTGAGACTGAGCCCAATATAGGGCCGAGCCCAATGTGGCGCAGAGCTCGATATAGGGCAGAGTTTGGTGTGGGGCAGAGCTCGATATAGGGCTGAGCCCCGTGTGGGGCAGCCCTGGCTGGGTCGGGCCCGCTGTGGGGCAGCCCCGCTGTGGGGCAGAGCCGTGGGGCACGGCGGCGCGGGGCTCCAGGGGGGCAGTTAGGGGGGCAGTTAGGGGGTCATGGTGGGGTCAGATATGGGGTTAGATATGGATCAGATATGGGGAGATATGGGTCAGATATAGGGGACAGCAGCACGGGGCGTCAGGGGGTCAGGTATGGGGTTAGGTATGGGGTCAGGTATAGATCAGATATGGGTCAGATATACGGCACAGCGTGGGGAGTGTGCAGATATGGGGGACAGTGGCACGGGGCGTCAGGGGGGCAGGTATGGGGGCAGTGTGAGGTCAGTGTGGGGACAGTGTGGGGTGATATGGGTCAGATATAGGGGACAGCGGGACGGGGAATCAGGGGGGGCAGGGGGGGCACTTATGGGGTCAGGTATGGGGTTAGATACGGATCAGATATACGGCACAGCTTGGGGAGTGTAGGGCCAGATATGGGGTCAGATATAGGGGATAGTGTGGGGAGATATGGGGTCACATATGGGGTCAGTGTAGGGTCAGTGTGGGGAGATGTGGGGTCAGATATAGGGGACAGCGGCACGGGGCGTCAGGGGGGCAGTTATGGGGGCAGTTATGGGGTCATGGTGGGGTCAGATATGGGGTTAGATATGGATCAGATATGGGTCAGATATAGGGGACAGCGGCATGGGGCGTCAGGGGGGCAGGGGGGCAGGTATGGGGTCAGGTATGGGGCACAGTGTGGGGTCAGATATGGGGTTAGATATGAGGTTAGATATGGGGTCAGATATAGGGGACAGCGTGGGGAGATATGGGGACAGATGTGGGGTCAGTGTGGGCTAAGGGTGGGGGATGTGGGATCAGATATAGGGCACAGTGTGGGGAGATGTGGGGTCAGGTGTGGAGTCAGTATGGGGCACAGTGTGGGGTCAGATATAGGGGGTATGGGGGGGATATGGGGTCAGTGTGGGGAGATATGGGGACAGATGTGGGGTCAGGGTGGGGAGATGTGGGGTCAGATATGGGGTTAGATATAGGGGTGGATATGGGGTCAGATGTGGGGGACACTTATGGGGTCAGTTATGGAGGTGTCACACATTGGGGGTCAGGTCTGGGGTCAGTCATGGGGTCAGCTATGGGTCAGTTATGGGGTCAGGTCTGGCGTCAGATGTGGGGGACACTTATGGGGTCAGTTATGGAGGTGTCACACATTGGGGGTCAGGTCTGGGGTCAGTCATGGGGTCAGTCATGGGGTCAGCTATGGGTCAGTTATGGGGTCAGGTCTGGCGTCAGATGTGGGGGACACTTATGGGGTCAGACATGGAGTGGGGCAGGTATGGGGCAGGTATGGATCAGATATGGGGTTAGATATGGGGGCAGGTATAGGGGACAGTGGCACGGGGCGTCAGGGGGGCAGTTATGGGGTCAGGGTGGGGTCAGGTATGGGGTTAGATATGGATCAGATATGGGGAGATATGGGTCAGATATAGGGGACAGCAGCACGGGGCGTCAGGGGGTCAGGTATGGGGTTAGGTATGGGGTCAGGTATAGATCAGATATGGGTCAGATATACGGCACAGCGTGGGGAGTGTGGGGCCAGATATGGGGTCAGATATAGGGGATAGTGTGGGGAGATATGGGGTCACATATGGGGTCAGTGTAGGGTCAGTGTGGGGAGATGTGGGGTCAGATATAGGGGACAGCGGCACGGGGCGTCAGGGGGGCAGTTATGGGGGCAGTTATGGGGTCATGGTGGGGTCAGATATGGGGTTAGATATGGATCAGATATGGGTCAGATATAGGGGACAGCGGCATGGGGCGTCAGGGGGGCAGGGGGGCAGGTATGGGGTCAGGTATGGGGCACAGTGTGGGGTCAGATATGGGGTTAGATATGAGGTTAGATATGGGGTCAGATATAGGGGACAGCGTGGGGAGATATGGGGACAGATGTGGGGTCAGTGTGGGCTAAGGGTGGGGGATGTGGGATCAGATATAGGGCACAGTGTGGGGAGATGTGGGGTCAGGTGTGGAGTCAGTATGGGGCACAGTGTGGGGTCAGATATAGGGGGTATGGGGGGGATATGGGGTCAGTGTGGGGAGATATGGGGACAGATGTGGGGTCAGGGTGGGGAGATGTGGGGTCAGATATGGGGTTAGATATGAGGTTAGATATGGGGTCAGATATAGGGGACAGCGTGGGGAGATATGGGGACAGATGTGGGGTCAGTGTGGGCTAAGGGTGGGGGATGTGGGATCAGATATAGGGCACAGTGTGGGGAGATGTGGGGTCAGGTGTGGAGTCAGTATGGGGCACAGTGTGGGGTCAGATATAGGGGGTATGGGGGGGATATGGGGTCAGTGTGGGGAGATATGGGGACAGATGTGGGGTCAGGGTGGGGAGATGTGGGGTCAGATATGGGGTTAGATATAGGGGTGGATATGGGGTCAGATGTGGGGGACACTTATGGGGTCAGTTATGGAGGTGTCACACATTGGGGGTCAGGTCTGGGGTCAGTCATGGGGTCAGTCATGGGGTCAGTCATGGGGTCAGCTATGGGTCAGTTATGGGGTCAGGTCTGGCGTCAGATGTGGGGGACACTTATGGGGTCAGACATGGAGGTGTCACACATTGGGGGTCAGTTATAGGGTCAGATCTGGGGTCAGACGCCCTCATGGGGGTCTCAAACACGGTGGGGGGGGGTCATCAAACCTCCAGCACCAACCCCCACTGTCCCCACCCTGCTTTGGGGTCCCCCCAAGGACCACCCACCCCACGGGACCCCAATTCCCCTGTGCCCGACCATGGCCACCGTGGCCAGGGACCACAGGGACACCATCCCTGGGGACAGGAGACACGGGTGACATCCCTGTCACCCCCTCTGTGCCATCCCCACCATGGCCACCGTGGCCAGGGACCACAGGGACACCATCCCTGGGGACAGGGGACATGGGTGACATCCCTCTCACCCCCTCTGTGCCATCCCCAGCATGGCCACCACTACCATGACCACAGGGACACTGCCCTGTGCCAATGCCATGGTGTCCCCTGTCCCCATTGTCCCCCATCCCTGGTGTCCCCATGCCCCGTGTCCTTGTGTCCCCCTGTCCCTCTGCCCGCTGTCCCCACACCCGGGGCTCCTCGGCCAACTGTCCCCACGGCCGATGTCCTCAGTGACCCCAGTGACCTTGTGCCCCATGTCCCACACCCCCAGCGTCCCCACACCCAATGCCACCACACCCAATGTCCCCAAACTCAATGTCCCCAGACCACGGTGACCTTTGACCTCATGTCCCACACCCCCAGTGTCCCCACACCCAATGCCACCACCCCCAGTGTCCCCAGACCACGGTGTCCTCCTTCCCCACGTCCCACTCCCCCAGTGTCCCCAGAGCCAACACTCCTTGGCCAGCTGTCCCCACGCCCAACGTTCCCAGGCCATGGTGACCTTCTGCCTCTCGACCCACATGTCCAACGCCCCCAGACCCAACGTCTCCAGACCATGGTGACCTTGTGCCCCACATCCCACACCCGCGATGTCTCCAGACCCAACACCCCCAGACCCAACGCCCCCAGACCCAACGTCCCCAGACACGGTGACCTTCTACCGCACACCCTCGTGTCCAATATCCCAAACCCAGTGTCCCCAGACCCAACGTCCCCAGACCACGATGACCTTGTGCCCCATGATCTATGCACCCAATGCCCCCACACCCAATGTCCCCACGTCCAACATCCCAAAGCCAACGTCTCCAAACCCAATGCCCCCAGACCCAACACCCCCAGACCACGGTGACCTTGTCCCACACCCCAACATCCCCAAACCCAATACCCCCAAACCCCCAAACCCAACACCCCCAGACCACAGTGACCTCCTACCCTCATGTTCCACATCCCCAAACCCAATGCCCCCAGACCCAACTCCCCCAGACCATGATGATCTTGTGGCCCACATCCCACACCCCCAATGCCCCCAGACCAAATACCCCCAGACCACAGTGACCTTGTGCCCCATGTTCTACACACCCAACACCCCCAGACCCAAAGCCCCCAGACCACGACGACCTTGTAGCCCACGTCCCACACCCCGACATCCCCAAACCCAACACCCTCAAACCCAACGCCCCCAGACCCAATGCCCCCAGACCCAACGTCCCCAGACCACGACGACCCTGCAGCCCACGTCCCACACCCCCACGTCCACCATGGTGACCTCCTGCCTCTTGTCCCACACCCCCAACACCCCCAGACCCAACACCCCCAGATCCAACGTCCCCAGACCACAGTGACCTCATAGCCCACATCCCACACCCCCAACACCCCCAGACCCAAAGCCCCCAGACCACGATGACCCTGCAGCCCACGTCCCACACCCCGACATCCCCAAACCCAACACACCCAGACCCAATGCCCCCAAACCCAACGCTCCCAGACCCAACACCCCCAGACCCAACACCCCCAGACCCAACACCCCCAGACCACGACGACCCTGCAGCCCACGTCCCACACCCCCACATCCACCATGCTGACCTTCTGCCTCTTGTCCCACATGTCCAACGCCCCCAGACCCAAAGCCCCCAGACCACGGCGACCTTCTACCGTACACCCTCATGTCCAACATCCCAAACCCAGTGTCCCCAGACCCAACGCCCGCCACCCCAACCCCGCCACCCCGTAGCTTCCCCTCGCCCCTCACCGCCCAGCGTGGCCGTGAACCCCTCGATCTTGCAGGCCAGCGGCCCCAGGGCGAAGTACATCTGGGAGAAGCTGTAGAAGGCCGTGGTGGAGCCCACGCACACCACCAGCAGGTTGGCCACCGCCAGGTTGACCAGGATGTAGTTGAGGTGCGAGCGCAGCTTCTTGTACTTGGCCGTGCACAGCACGGTCAGCGCGTTGATGGGCACGCCCAGCAGCACCAGCAGGAACATGAAGGCCGCCATGGCCTTGAAGATGCCGGGGCTGCCCAGGTGGGTCTGGGGCACCAGGAAGGGGCTCAGCGCCGTCACGTTCGGCGTGTCCAGGCTCACGGGGATGTAGAAATCCTCGGGGAGCTCGTCCCGCATCTCCCGCGGCTTCTGCATGGCGGCGGACGGACGGACGGACGGACGGGCGGGC